TTGACTACATTACTCAATGTTGCCAACTTAATAAATTTCATTGAACAAACCTTATCAGCGTCCAAAGTGAACGGTTCCGCGTCCCTATCTTGATACATCGGATTATTAAAATCATTCTCTTGTAGTCTTTCATGCGAAAACGACTGTCTCTTCCTGTAGAAATAATCAAAAGCGAGGAACACAACCAAAATCACAATAACAACCACGATTGCAGCAATAACTGGAACTACAACCCCCCTTCCTACATCTTTATGGGCAACAGCCCCGTCTAATTTCACCAATAAATCGCATTTAACTCCGCTGAAATCCGAGGGACATTGACAATAAGGCAATCCATCACTGACGTCACAAGTGCCCCCATTTTTGCAATAATTAGCACAGACGGCGAGTTGATTACAACGGGGCCCCGTCCACGATTGGGGACATTGACAAATGGGGTCGACATGTGGGGACAAAATCTGACAAATTCCCCCATTTTGACACAAATCGGTACACGTATCAGCATTGCCAACATATATCTGTAATTAAACCAATTAAATAACCGAAATTTGTTTAGTCTGCGGTCCGCTTACCTCACACTTAGTCCCACCCCACGGCCTCTCACACTTACACACCGGCCTGCCGTTCATAATCACACACGTGCCCCCATTATCACAGACGCATCTCTCCGTGCACCCTTTCGGGGGCTCKKGGACGGRGCATAAATCAATCTCGCATCGCCTCCCTTCGAAAAATTGCGGACAATCACATTCGGGTTGTTTCATCCCCATTCGACAAGTTCCGCCATTTTGGCAATGTTGGTAACACCGATCTTGRTCACATTTGTCCCCACTGAAACCAGGCAGACAACTACATTTCAATCCCGATGATGTCGTTATCGGTTTTCCGTTTTTGCCACAGAAGGAAATCTCGCAATGGCGTCCACTGTACCCCACCGGACATTTGCAATTATCTTTGACACAAACGCCGCCATTTTGACAGACTAATTGTGCACAATTCTGACATCGTGAACCGGTGAATCCCGAGGGACAGTTACAGACGGGCATTTCCGGTTTRGGGGTYAAACAAGTGCCACCGTTGTAACAGCGGCCTTCGCAGAGATTGACAGGAGTTTCGCAACGTTCGCCGGTCCATTGCGGGGCGCAGTTACACCGCAATGGGGGGAGAGAGTCGGGGGATTGGGGGGCTGCCAAATCAACGTAGCACATTCCTTTGTTTTTGCAGTATTGGGAGCACCGGAAATGCTCACAACGGGGACCGGTGTATTGTGCAGGACAGAAACATTTAGGGTTTTGGCCTTGGACGATTTTACAAGTGCCACTGTTGCAATTGAGGGGGCAATTAGGGGTACGACTGGCAATCGCTTTACAAGTCTYGAAAAAAAAWTATTCACATCTCAAAAGAYAAAAAAAWTATTTACATACCAAATTATCTTTAACATAACCATCGGCGCAAGTACAGGTTGCTGTATTTGGACTCAATAAACAGAATTCTGTATGGTGGCAAAAATCGATGCAAGTATTGTTGACTGTTTGATCTTGTTTTTGTTCGTGGAGTATAAGAATGTCAGCGATTCGCGTTAAACCTTGGGATAAATGAGTGATGTTTCCATTACCGAATTTATTCAAACGCAAGACATCATGTTTCTGGTAAGTGGTGACAAAAAGGTAATTTTCGAAGACTTCAATCTTGTATGGTTTCATCTCTGAAAGGAGAAAGAAGTAGTAGTAAAAGTGATTTTTAAAACATAGTGCGACAAAAAAATAGGATATTTAACACTTTCTGAAAATTCACTGTGAAGCAAGCTTTAACGTCAAATTTGACATTTCAAAATGTCAAAATAACAGAAAGATTGTACTACTGTACGATCAAAAAATAAATAAATTAGAGTAGGTGGTGATTAAGATTCTTCAGATGGCAATCCTGATTTTTGACATCAAATAAATGTCAGCACAAACTTTGACAAGTTTGAGTTTTATTCATTTTGAGTGAAATAATGTTCACTTTAGAGCAGAAAATTTGTACTGTTACAAGTTATTACAAAAATGTTATTACGAAAASGGTGGTCATTTTCACTTTCAGTTTGTGTAGAAAATAATTTCCAACCAACGTGTTGCCAACTGTAGAATATTAATCGTRGCCTACTCTAATTTTTTTTTGATCGCACGGTATTTTCAAAATGAGGTTACCATCTAAYGGCCGTTTCACATATAATCTTATTTTTTGTTAGTATTAGTGATCCAGTCCAGTCCGCAGATAATAAAAAAATTACTGTAATTTTTTTTTAATATTAATATGTGCAATTTACTGAGTTTAAAAATTCTACTTCAAATAAAAAAAACTGATTATTTTGTTCAACATAAATTAAAAATAAAAAATACTACTCCTATTTGATTAATAATTAAATTCAAACCAAAAAAAAATAATTTAAAGGTTTTCAATAGTATATTACAAAACAAGTGATACAAATACTCTCAAAAAAATACGAGTACAGTTTGTCACACACGAGCTACTGGTATCGTATACAATTTTTTTCAATTTTAAATTGAATTTATTAACATATTTGACAGTTAAAATTTATGTCATTTAACGTAGTCGATGCCCAAGTTTTGCTGAAATATGTTAATCCACACCAAAAACAGTGTTTTAATGAAGATTATTAAGATACTGTTTTTTGGAAATTTCTTTTTGTCATGTTGGCAATACCACACTATTTCTGTCAGTGAACCTTGAATATCCACCACAATTAAACGTCAATTGGCAAACAAAACAATAAAATTAATTGAAAATTATTATCTGCTATATTATTCCTTATTGTTCTACGATTTTACTATTTATTTTTTACGTTTTATAATAACAACAGGACATAGAATTACCAACCCAAACTTAAGACAAGAAAAACCTCCACGTGGAATAAAATTTCGTTCAAACAAAAATTTTCATAAAACTACCAGAGCAACGTATTAAATTCGTTTTAGACGTATTGTCAAACTTTAAAMCACTCCTCGCTACGATCGTCGTGCTATAAACCCGCGTGTGCGACAATATACCGTCTTCTCAAAGTTGTATAATAATATACTATTTTATTGTCTTTTCCTGTGAAAATTATCACATAATGGACACCGTCTATTTCCGACTCAATAAAATAAAACGCAAAATAATTATTCTCGGCACTAATAACTAAAATATAGTTTTTCCAAACGAAAAAAACAATATGGTTACTAGGTTGGCACTATTTTCGAGAAATTTTTACTCTAATGACATTAATCACAAATAATAAAAGGTGTGAATGTGTTTTGGGAAGCTTTAACAAAAAAATGTTTAAAACGTTCTTGCGGACTCATTTGTTAATTTGTCTCAACTAAAAATTATCAAAATTATCAAATCGGTGTACTTTTTTAATTTCAACTTTTGTTTATATGCAAAAATTATGGTGTACAACTGGCGATTTTGGGCCTGAAAGTTGTTTTTTTTTTCATACCTTTCCCGAAATGCTTCACGACATGCCTATCCGACCCATCAAACTTGACCGTCTCCACTGTCATCGTCTTCGGATCGGCCCAATACAACCTCCTCGTGGTATAATCCACCGCCAATCCCGTCGGATACAAAATCGCGCTATTCACCAACACCCTCCTCTTATTCCCGTCCATATGCGCAGTCTCAATCCTCGCCGGCGGCCCCCAATCCGTCCAAAACAACACTCCATCCTGTGGCACCACAACTATATCCCTCGGCTGCTTCATCTCCCCCTTCAACAGTGTATAAACATACAATCCGTCGATCGTCGACACCAAAATCCTAATCCCATCCGTGACATACAACCGTCTCGCCACCCAATCCACACTAATCCCTCTGGGATCATGCAAACCACTCGTAACAGTCCTCACATCTGAATCACGTCGTGTGCGACTCTCATTCAATCGCAAAACCACACTTTGGATGCGTTTATTTTGGTGGTCGGTCCAGAACGCAATTGACTCTTTCTTATCGTAGAGAATATCAACGGCGTCGACTTTGTATCCGGGGGCTGTCGCGAGTGTCTTACTGCGTAGTTTGTTACTATCACCGGGTTTATACGGCGACATGAGACGCAATTCGGCCTCAGAGACAAGCACAAGATTGGCCCAATCACCATCAGCGATGCACACGCCCCCTTTGAGGTGGGTATACCCCGGAAGGCATTTACACACTGGAGTGTTGTGTTTCGCTTCGATGCAGATTTGCGAACAAGTGTTCCATTTACAAGTCGCATTATTACAGTTTTCTTCATCGCTGTTATCACTACAGTCGTTTCTACCATCACAACGTAGGGAGTTTTTGATACAATGTCCGTTTTTGCAGGTGAATTGATCGGGAGGACAGAGATTAAACCGGTGACAAATATGGGGGTCTTCATCACTCCCATCCTCGCATTGGTCGTGCCCATCACACAGGAAACTCACCGGGACACAAGTATGGTTCTTGCAACGGAACCGTCCCGGGAGACACCCAACCAACGAACAAAACATCTCATCTGACCCATCCTCGCAATCTTTTTGCCCATCACATCGCCAATCCTCGTTGATGCAAAGCCCATTGTGACATTTAAACCCATTATCTGGGCAAGTATCGCTACAATTCGCCTCGTCTGACCCATCCGAACAATCCGCTTCGCCGTCACACTTCCARTCCAAATAAATACAAACTTGAGGATTGACACACTGAAACTCGTTTTTCTTGCAATGTGTGTGACAATTGGCCTCATCTGACCGATCCTCGCATTGAAACTCGCCGTCGCACTTCTGCGACCCCCGAATACACCTGCCGTCGCCGCACCGAAACTCCGACTCCGAGCAGTTCCGAGGAACGCACTCGATCTCATCCGAACTATCGCCGCAGTCGTTATCGTAATCGCATCGCCAGCGTCCGGGGATGCACTTGTTGTTTTTGCACTTGAAATAGGTGGGCTCGCAGGTGTGGAATTCGGGTTGGCTGCAGGAAGACGGCTCGTCTTCGTTGTTGGCGCAGTCGGGGTCGCCGTCGCAACGCCACGACATGGGGATGCAACGACCGGAACTGCAACGGTAGTGTTGGGGGGAACAAGTGCGCGATTGGCAGTCCTGCTGCTCGTCGGAGTTGTCGCCACAGTCGTTGTCGGTGTCGCAYACCCACACCGCTGGAATGCATTTATCATTGGCGCATTTGAATTGGTTAGGGGGGCAAGTGGCCGGTGGGCAATCGGATTCGTCCTCGCCCAAGGGGCAGTCCACGTGTTTGTTGCAACGGAATTTCGACGGGATGCATCTGGAATTAAATTAATTAATTAAAATTTTTTGAATTCTGGAAGTTCTAAGAAGCAGGAGAAATGCATAAAACGCTTGTTAGTATAGAGAACATATTTGACTTGTGACTAAATGACAAAAAACTGTTGGCAACTCTGAATTATTGGTAATGTTAGGTTTCAAATGAAGACTTTGCCATCGAGCGTTCCTCGGAAAAATGACAATTTGACAATTAACTAGAAAATTGTGAAATTTAATTTTCATAGTCAGTGTTGCCAAATTAATATTTCAGATTTGTGGCCTACTTGAAAACAGAATTCACAATCATTTTTCTCTATTTAAAGTGTTAATTGTCAATATTTTTTATTATTAATATTTGTGAGAACTACAGGGTGCGCCATAACTCGCGCCCCAGAAAAAAATTTCAGAGTCAAAGTGCAAACTTTAAACTCTCATAACTTCGAAATTTTTTTAACATATTTTCCATATTCCTGGTAACTTACCTTGTATGGCATTTTTCCCTGGGGCGCGAGTTCTGGCGCACCCTGTATACGTTATAACTTATATAATGGTAAACATCTGCAAGTACAGTTGCGGACAATAAAATCTGAGCACTGATTTGACATTTTATTACTTTTTAGCAACCTAGTACCTAATATCCCTAAATCCTAAACAGTAAGATCATTTCCGATTTGACTGGAAAGTAAGTTTAGCTCTGTTTAGTGGTAAAAATTCTTGGAATTTATTTCTGAACGAGAGTGAAAAACGYCTATTTTATAAAAAAAAATCGACTTWGTAACTCAAATGCGGTGCTACTTAAATATTAATACATCAACTCTTTTCATGAGGTCAACTTTAAACAAAAATCTAGAAATTTTCGGTAAAAGTTTAGATTAGGAGGTTGTACTTTGTTGTAAACAAGTGTGAAGGGCGCAAAAAATGGTGACGTAGAATTGGGTAAATATTGGAATTACTTTGTGACGTGGTAAGTGGGCGGGACTATGCAGTCCAGAACAAAGGCCTTTTACACCGGAACTATTACGAAATGGTTTTTTTGTGCCGTTTTTGAGGAAATTATTACAATAACGACTCAGTCTTTGCCAAGCTCTCGTAGGAATCACTTGTCCGAATAAATTATTACTTATTATTTCGTGGTTCAGTGAGAAATCGTGTTGAAATGGAGAGTGTACACACAGTGCGTGTGTTTTGTGTATTTTC